TTTCTATTGCCTCAGTTAATGTGATTCTGCTACTTTCTGTATTTCCTTCTTTTTGAGATTTCTGCGTGTTTTTTCTTCCGTTTCATTGTTGCATTGATTTTTATTACCGAAATTCCTCTTTTTATGTTGCTTTCTCTTCATTCTTGCATCAACAGTATCACACTGCACGTAAAAATTACACGAACGTTCTCAAAAAAAAAAAAATTGAAAATTGGATACGCAAACGTCACAAATTAATTTTATCATTTACTCAATAATTACAAATCACAAATTACTTGTTTCAACTTTCGGAACATAGTTTAATTCTTGACCAATTTTACGACCTTTCAACTGTTTATTAAGCAAAAGTGAAGACCTTAACGCGCATGATCAATCATATACAATAATTTTATGGTCACCATTGAGTCGCGTTTCACGTTGAGAGGTTAAGCACGATTCACTGTAGCATGTCCAACTAACTGATCCACATCTGTGTTACAACTTAACCTCTTACGCTTACGAATGACGTGCCACGCACGTCGAGAACTTTTTATCCCAAAATTGCAATATTTCTTCAGTTTTAAGTATATTTAAGTATAACCCAGGCAAAACAAATATAATAAATTTATTACTTCTCAATAATTTCTATCCAGTGATATCACACCGACGAATTCAAAAAGAAAGCGACGAATTATTGTGTACGATTTGGTCGCTCGTTATGGTCCGCAATCAGTTGCCAACACAAGTAGTTAACCTCTTGCCAAGTACATCGAAAATATTTGTCTCAAAATTGCAATATTTTCTCAGTTTTAAATATATTTAAGTATAACCCAGGCAAAACAGATAATAAATTTATTACTTCTCAATAATTTCTATCTAGTGATATCATATCGACGATATTCAAAAAGAAAGCGACGAATTATTGTATACGGTTTTGGTCACTCGTTATGGTCCGCAATCAGTTGCCAACGCAAGTGGTTAATGTAACGCAGCTGCGTTGAAATGAATTAAGAGTTCATAGTATAATGCTCAGTATCTCCATCTGTCACTTGGGAGAGCTATAAAATATTGAATCACTACTGTGTTTTTAGTAATTGAGTCTGTAATACTATCTGTGTTACAACTAGAGCCGCATTGAAATGGGTTAAGAACCCGTAGTTTAGTTGAGAGTTTAGCTTTAGTTGAAACGTTTTTAATGAAAAGTGACTGAAGCAGTCTTTTGAAAAGTGAGTTATTTCTTTTTTTTTACCGTCTTTTTATAAAAATGCTGAAAGCTGCAGCCAATCAGATTCAATTTTCCCTCCAAGTTGCCTAGAACGGACTGCTGTTATTTACAATGCTGCCTAGACGTTACTCTACAGATGGTTTACACATGGTATCAGGGTGTTCGAGCATGGTTTGGTGATGGTTGGAGCCAGCAAGGCTTCAACAGTCACTATGCTATGATAGAATTTTCATCCAAGGTTTTTTCCTTATCAATTTCATTAAGTGCGATCGTATAAAGTTCACTACAACTGAATAACATACTTCTCGATCTCAAATCTATAATTTTAATGGACGCATAATCTGAAGAATAATATATGTGAAATGTAACTACTCTCACAAGTTATGAATTATGAATCATAATCTGTAGAAGCAACATGTGATAAAGCACATTTTTTTATTTTTAAAATTCAATATATTACGAAACAGTTATTTTCTTATTAAATTTGATTATAGATTTCTCCTAAAAAATATTTATATCAAAAATACTTATCATATTTTAGCGTTTTCATAAAATTTCGTAAATTTATTATCTTTTGCTAAAAATTTACAGACTTATTATCTTTTGCTAAAAGTCTTGTACCTTTCAAAAAATTTTTTGAACAGTTGACTGTTTTAATTACTTGGACATTAGGAATCATAGCAATTTAGGCTTGATTATTTAATTTTTAATTTGATTGAAATTTATTGCTAATCTTTATCAGGAAGAATTTAAAACAAAAAGTAAAATTAAATATCTAAAAATTTTAATGATCTATAAATATAAATTATTCGAGGACTAAAGTATGTCCTTTCAACAATTGAATAAACATAAATAGTCAAATGCAAAGTAAATAAAGAAATTAATTACAAAAATTAAATAGTAAAATAGAAAAATGAAATCAGACATCCAAAAATTTTAATAATCTGTGCAATAAAAAATAAAAATCAGTCATCTAAAATCAATGATGTTATTTAAAGATTACATCCTCTTAATAATTGAGCAAATAATAAAATACAAAGTAAATAAAGAAATTAATTACAAAAATTAAATAGTAGAATACAAAGTGAAGCTGAATATCCAGAAATTTTAGTTTTCAAACGTTACATTCCATTTTGTCAACTACATTCTATTTAAAAAAAAAAAATAGAGTGTTGCATGCAGCCCTGAAAGTATCATTGCATGAATTGAACTACATAATACTTCAATTTAGGAACATATTATACTGTGGAGGTTACTGTGACAGTAGGAAGCTCGTTGGTTGCACCAGCTAGTTAAAAGTTATCCCTCTGTATCGTCGGTATGGTATCTAGAACACGGGGGAATCAATCTATCGGGCAAGTAGGCCTCGTAACTCACGATCTCTCTGATAATCCTCACCTAACGATCCACCGTCATCGTTCCTCGTCCCGTTATCAAGATGCGAATAACGCGGTGCTACATGGTCAAACATTCGCGATTTTTAGATAAATCACGTAGGGTAACGTGCTTGAAAAGTACCGAGTGGCACTGCTGATTCTCAAAAACGTGAACAGAAAAGAAACAATGCAAGTTTCGAAAAGCTAAAATACATATAGGCTGTCATGTGAGCGGTGATATATATCGTATAACCGACCAGAGGATAATTCTACATGCAAAAACAAACTGACATTCTTTTCATTCGAAACTCGTTTTCGAGAAAATGGAGCTTGAAAATTTGTCACAATATTTGTGTTTGGTTACTCTCAAATTCATCTTCTAGACCAGGAACTGACAGGAGGTTATTCTAAGCACAGAAATAAGAAGGATAAAATTTTTTCCATTCAGAGTTCTTTTTAAAAGAAATAGACACTGAATGTGTTTAGAATTAGTTAAGAATTAGCTTGTGAACTTTTCAAATTTAATTTTCTTAGAAATAAAATATTTCTCATGAAAAAACTATTTTACGTTTTTAATATATTTTTATCTTGCAAATAAAATAGCCCCCTTTCGATTATTCGTTTCTGTCCAATTCAAAATGTTGTTCTTTCTTATTCTTTCACGTATAATTAAATCTTCTTTTCGTTTGTATGATTCAGCCAATGTTCGGTAACGAATATGGAATAACTCAGAGATCTAGCTAAGTATAGTATATACTATACTTTTATGTAACATTATATACTATAATGTCACATAAAAATTTCGATTGCATATAAGCGCAAAAATGTGTCCTCTGTATTTCAGATTTTTAAGAGTATGACTATCTAGAAACTTTTTAATTTTTTAATTGCTGACATAACTTTTAATTTTTTAATGCCGACCAAAAAATACCGAGTCAAGTTAATGTAATTTGGTTAGGTTTGAGAGAAAAAAAATATTAAAATTCTGTAAAGAATAATAATTACAAAATTCAAAAAGGAATATATCAGGTAATAAAGGGACATAACATGTAGCAAATGTTACATATTTTATATATTTCTTACTAAATAATTCAAAAAGAAAATATTTTAAAAATTAAAAACTGAATAATGTACCTATCAACTTGCTTTAGTCTGCAATTTTTAACGAAGCATATTCTAGCATATAATATAATAAGCGAAGCATATTATATCGAAGTACTTTTTTATAAAAGAAGGAGCTTTAAGTGAAAAAAATTTTATTCCACGTTCTTTATTTATTTTTGCATGTAGGATAATCTCTTGTTTTTTTTATTCTTTCTTGTCACGTTTAGAATTAACTAACTCCAAATGTACTTAATGAATTTTCAAACTCGATTTTCTCGAAAGCAAAGCACATAAAAAAAATTTATTCTCTATATAAAAGAATTTTATAATAAAAATATTATAATATTATAATAAAATAAAATATAATAGAATATAATAAAAATATTAAAGGTATAATAAAATATAAAAATAAAATATTAAAATATTAAAATATAATAAAAATATTAAAAATATAGTAAAATATAATAAAAATATTAAAGATGTAATAAAATATAATAAAAATATTAAAGATGTAATAAAATATAATAAAAATATTAAAGATGTAATAAAATATAATAAAAATATTAAAGATGTAATAAAATATAATAAAAATATTAAAGATGTAATAAAATATAATAAAAATATTAAAGATGTAATAAAATATAATAAAAATATTAAAGGTACAATAAAATATAATAAAAATATTGAAAAGTTTTGTTCTTTCTTTTTCGACTTATTTCTGGAGACATGTAGAATCACAGGAACATCCTATATAAAAGGTAAACGATTTATCAGAGAACGAAGAAACCAGAACCGATACGATTCAGATAAAAATTCTGTGGTAAGAAAAATCTGCCGAGTCAGGTAAGCCCGTTGATTTATTTATTCAAACCGTGCGATAAGATACCGAGAAAACCTTGGACGCTAAAAAATTGACGATTGTAAAGGAAGAAGCAGAATTTCAGAGTCGACCTCATTTACCACAGACCCAGTTCTGTAACGTGGAATATTTATATATCCTTACTTTATGGAAAGCGTAAACTTCTGTGAAATCCACGGAAACCAAATGAAATGACCGACTAATCTCTGAGAATCGTGAGCAAATATTAAAAGTCGGACGATTGCAGAAGAATTCGGTCAGGACAAAATTAAACTGGCGATTTGGCAGCATTCGTGGAGGATCGGGAAACAATTTCGGTGCGGTGTCAAGGCTGCCTTCTGTTTAATAATAGAAAATGGATGAACGAGAGTGGGATCGTGGTAAATATTGTCAAAAACACAAAAGGCTCACAGAAATATTTCGAATACTTGTAGAAAAGGTATTCTAAATGTGATACGTTACATTTCTCGAAAGTTGTTTGTCTCAGAGGAGCAATTAGGTCTGTTGTCATCCAATTGATTTTGGGATTAAATACATGCTTCTGCTATTTCCACTTGCACATCTGAAAAATATAAATAACATCAGTTATACAGGGTGTTCCTGAAATTAACTTGAATTTAGCTAACAGTAGATACGACGACAGGAAAGAATAATTAACAAGAGGTAGTTCTATGTGCGAAAATAAGTAAAAAATTTAAAATAAAATTGACACTTAAAATCTCATTTCCATACATTTTATTAATAATTAATATCTTTCGTTAAAAGTTTGCCTTAGTACTTGAGAAATTTTCAAACTCGATGTTCTTGGAAACGATGCATGTTACAAAAAAATTTTATTCTACCATTCCACTTTTTATTCATTTTCGCATATAAAATTACAACTTCTTGATAATTCTTCTCTGGCATGTCTAGAACTAACCAAATTCAAATATACTTGAATAAATTCTCAAAATCGATTTTTTTGGAAACAAAGCTCATTCTTGCATGTAGAATCACAACCTGGCTGATTACACCACGATTTGGGAAAAATTCTTCATAGAATATTAGCAATTGAGTTAAACTTAACTTAAACTTGATATAGATAACTAAGCAGAATATTTTTCAAAAATTACTTATAATAATTAGAATTGCCATCTATTTTTAAATTAAGAAATTTATATGTTCAAACTTGTCAAATTTATCAATTTTTTTCAGCTATTTCATATTAAAGTATTTCTTTTTAAGCATCAATTAACATAAAAATCAAAAATACAATTTTCAATTATTATGAGAAGATCGTAATTATGCATTGTTTCTTTTATGAATATAAATTTAAACAAGTCTAAAAATGTACAGAAGCTGCAAGATATTCAGTATATGTATATTTCGTAGAGATCACAAAACTATTTAAATAATCAGCTGTACATTATATTAATAATACTTCAATGTTCAATGGGAACAAACTTAGTATTTATTCCATACTTAAGACAACATATACTGTATACTAATTTTTTATTATAGGCATAAATATCTTGTAACTTTGATACACACTTTAAAATTGATTTCAAATTTTACTAATTGACACATTTGTTGGCCATGGGTAAATTTTTCTATTTTATAATATATATTATAAAATAGGTTGAATAAAATTTCACAGAAAAGTGACTTCACTAGTACTATCAAGAACTTATTCACATTTTTGTTCAAACATGAAATACTTTTCAATATTTTCCAACAAGAAAAATTAAAGAAATACAAGCGGATCGTAAATGGCCGAGAAAATGTAACAACATTTTAATAGAGAATTTTCATTAAATAATTTGTATTTATAATAACGTATTAAGTACGTTTTTCTCAAGTACATTAATAATAGTATTTCTTACTATTATTATTTTATCTAACTTCCTGATTAAACAGTAAATTAATTCAAGAATAGAACAACTCCAACGACTTCGTTTAATTAAAAAATTGTAATTAAATAAAAAAAAAAACTCGTGAATGAAGTTTAACCATTAATCATACGACTGATGTGAACGTTCATTTGATTTCGCATAACTGCATTTAAATTAAAGTAGCACTAAAGAAACAATAATGTTGATAACATACAAAATACATGAATGTTTGAAATATCCTGCCAAAATATTTTAAAACGTGGTTTCTGTACACGTGCATACTTCAACTCAATTTCAGATTTAATTATAAATACAGTGACTCCCGTTAATATTCGGACATTTAAATATTCGGGCACTAACTATTAAAACTGTTATAATCTTGTAAAAAGGAATCGTGGACTTATCTTAAAACTTGAAACTTCTACTATTAAAATACGTTGTTCATTTTATTCTAAATTATTTTTATACCATATTATAGCAAATGATGAACGACAAATGAAGATTTTTTTTTCTTGAAAATCTAAATTGTATAATAATAAGTGAAAACATTGAAAAATTTGTTTCACAACTGAATTTACTATGGATTTGAAGATTGAAGCCTATAAGTTCTTCCAAAAACTTCATATGATTTCTTTTTCATTTTATTGAACTTTGAATATTAGACTTGGATAACAAAAATTCAAAGAATCGTAACATTTTCGTCGTTTTATTCAACTGACGTTCGAAATTCGATAAACTGGCGAAAAAAAATTGTACAGAAAGTTTTGAGAGCTGTTTTCAAATCCATTGTAGATTTACTGAAAAAAAGTTTCTTTGCGCTTTCACACGCTATAATGATTTATTGCGAAATGTTTTATTTGTGAGATGCTTCATCTTTATTTTGAAGCTGCAAACCATTATAACAGAAGAGTATGACAGTTTCAATATTTAGTGTCCGAATATTAATGGAATTCATTGTGATATTGATCGTGCGACTATCATCCTTGTATGGCAAGTATCTTGTGAAACCGCTGCCATACGTGAGAAACAGGGTGTTAATTAGATGAATGACTGAATTAGCGGCGTTTATCCATGGGAAGGATTGTGTGTTCACTTTCATACCATGAAAGTAGATCTCCTATTCAGTTTCACCACGATTGAATTTAAATTCCTCGAGTAACGCCATTCAGAGAGAGAGAGAGAGAGAGAGAGAGAGAGAGAGAGAGAGAGAGAGAGAGAGAGAGAGAGAGAGCTCGTTTGGTGAATCGGCTTAACAGTTCCTCTTCTACGATTCTCAAGCTCAATTCAAGTCACACGCTAATTAGTCAAATTTGTAGGGCTGTAGGAGAAACCACACAAATGTAGGACTAATAACTTTCTAACTAGCGTGATTGATTGACTCGTATTACTAAATAAATTAGGCAATAAAAAGATTTGATATATTATCCGTGAGAATAAATGAAAACCACCTTTCCTTTACAAAGGAAAAAATAAATTTTTTTCATTAACCACTTGCGCTGGCAACTGATTGCGGACCGTAACGAGTGACCAAACCGTATACAACAATTCGTCGCTTTCTTTTTCTTTTGAATTCGTCGGTATGATGATATCACTGGATAGAAATTATTGAGAAGTAATAAATTTATTATTTGTTTTGTCTGGGTTATACTTAAATATACTAAAGTATTGCAATTTTGGGACAAAAAATTCTCGACGTGCGTGGCGCGTCATTCTAGCGCAAGACATTAAAACTTCGTTTTCGGAAAAATCGAGTTTGAAAATTTATCAACTATACTTGAATCGACACGAGACGCAAAACTAAGTAGTAAATATTTTTTAATAAATATTTTAAAAAAATATATTCTTAGTAAATATTTTTTAATAAATATTGAAACAATATATATTTTTAGTAAATATTTTTTAATAACTATTGAAACAATATATATTTTTAGTAAATATTTTTCAATAGATATTAAAAAAATATATATTTAAAAAAAAATAAATATTTTTTGAATATATAATAAAACAATGAAATATTTTTTGAATATTTTATACTATCATTCCAGAATCGATCACGTATCTGCTTATGTTCTTAAAAATAAAAATCGAGCGTTTGCATGACACCAAATAACAAATATTTCAGGTACATACAAATCAAACATTCTTTATTAAGCTGTGAATAATTCTTTCTGATTTTATACTTTCTCTTATCCGAGTTCGAATCACGGAAGAAATACAAAATTTTAAACTCTCGAAACTCGGAATTTTCTTGGATTTCCGGGGGTTTCAATGTTTTGGAACGATCTATCCCTAGTAAAAATCCAAATTTTAATAAGTAAGTAGTAATACAACCGAAATTGAAATAATTCCACATCACAAAAATTGGTATGAAATTGTTTCATCCAAAACCTCGTTTTCGAGGAAATTGAGTTTAAACATTCATGAAATGCACGCGAGTGCAACTTGTTTAACGTGTCACTCTGTTCTTGGTTATTTCTATCCCTTGAAAATGATATAATTAAAATGACATATTAAGGGATAATCCGACTTAAAAAAATCAATTTTGTTTCTTACGTTTTTCTCAAAGTATATGCTTTCGAGAATGTCTATGTAAAAGGATTTGTTTGAATTCGTAAAATTAGCAAAGATAGATGTTTAAAGGAAACGGTGTACTGCTCACAACGTAAGTATGAATATTTTTGTACAATGGGTAACAAAAACTTCAAATGTGTTTTTCTCAAAAAATATTTCATTTTATGATATTATTTTTCATATTATTATTTATTTTTATATTATTATTATTATTTTATATTTTATTTTTTCTACTGCTCGATTGATTTGTAAGTATGAATAATTTTGTACAACGGGTAACAAAAACTTCAAATGTGTTTTTCTCAAATCCATACTTTTTCAACTGGCTGACGGGATACCTCACGTTTTAGTTGACCGATTGACTTGAAATTTGGAGGAGATCTTCACCGGATGTACCTTTATGGCATGAACCATGGATTTCCAAATCTAATGTTCTTTTTTCTTTTTTTTTTACCACCCAAAAGACAAAAAGCACAAGGAAAATCGATATTTTAACTTCATAATGTTGCCATTTTTTTAATTTTCGAAATTTCGCTGTTTCCGTGATTCATGCGATAGCTATATTTATACTAATTAAGACGCATTTTGGTTTTTTAGTTTCAAATAACCAGGTGGACCGGAATCACGTCAGCCATTCGAACCCGTTTTTAAAAACATGCTTTACCCAAGGCTATATAATTTCCACAACTTTCATTAATTTCGTTAAAAAAAACATTGTAAATATTCTTTGAGTATGAATAAATCTGCGTGCGAAAACTGCATACCAAACTGTATCATGGTTTCCTTAGAAAAAAATCCCGAAAAAGTCGATTTTTTCACGCCGGATTACCAGAATACCCCCTTAAAAATAATTAAATGTTTTGCAAAATATTCATTTTTTTTATTGTATTATATGTACTCTTGTTGCTACATAACTCTGCTCGACGAGTCAAGAATGAATTAACGGATTCTAATGTACTTTCGCTTGTACTGCACAATTTTTTTAGTTGCAATTGCGTAATTCTTACATCGTGGATCGGGCAACTGTTCTTTGACATGTTCCCACGATATTTCGTGGATTTTCAAGCTCGATTTTCTAGAAAAAACAAGGTTGCGGAGTAAAAGATTTTACCATTGTTCAT